ATTGTTTATTTGGAAACGTGTTATCTTCCCTGCTCCACAGGACTAGCCTACGCTATGCTGGCTGCGGTGCCTCCTGTTTATGGTCTGTACTCCTCCTTCTACCCGGTCCTGCTGTACACCTTCTTTGGCACGTCCAGACACATATCAGTAGGTGAGAGAGCCGTCTCTGTCCTGACCTCATGGCCCTGTGTGACCGGCTCTGCCCACGTACAGTTACAATATGCTCGTCATTGTTCCATAAGCTCCGCCCTCTTATGTACTCCCCGCCCCCAAAACACACACAGCAGAAAATTTCATGTTCTGTACAGAGGAGAGAAATTAAAGGTGCCGTCGCCACGGTGATGCCCCGACCTAAATATTTATCAAAATATTTATTTATTGTTTGAAATCGATCCAAACAGACACACCCTGACACGGTCTGACGTCTCCTTTCAGTTGGTGTTAAGGTTCTCGCCAAGAAAGAAGATTTTAAATAAGATGTATAAGAAGAAAGTGATTGTATATGAAGGAAACTGCTGCTTCCTGGATGTGGCACTGATTGCTAGCTTCTTCATTTTCCAGCGTGATGTTCGTTTGGAATAAAGAAACCATGGAAGCTGCTCCTGTTTCACTGCAGCTGTGTGCTCGGCCACGGCTGCTTCCTCACGTCTAACAGTATTCCCAGTAATGCTTTGCTGCCTATTATGAGGATAGGAAACTATAGCTGATTTGTTTCCAGCCTGACTCTCCTGACATTGTCCAGAATTTGTCTCTCATTGGCTCCCCCTCTGTTCCTCATGTCTGCTTTCAAAAGATGGTGACATTCAGACGCACCGAGCTGTTTTCTTTTCTCGCTTGCTTTTTGAGAGAAAAGACAAGATGATGTCATTTTTACATGGTTGAGCTTTTTATAGATTTCTTAATCCACATTAATGGTGTCACATCCAAGTCTTGCAGGCGACGAGTCACTTTCCACAGCTGTGTCTGTAGTGACTGTGAGGTGCACTGGGTTACACAGTGATTCAGATTATGAGATGAAAGGTGTGGAGGAAATGTTTGGATGTGTGCTAACTGTGTGCTTAGCTTTCACGGGAGGATTGTGACATTTCAGCGACCTCACCCTGTGACAGCTTCCTTTCCTTGAAATGGGTCCAAGTCTCAAATGCCAGCTGTGACCTATGAGTCCCTCTGACTGTTGGACCCAATGAAGCACCTCGCAGACAGGAAGTGTTCCTGTAAAACTGTCACATGGTGAGGAAACGACACGTCACATTATGGCAGAATAAGACACAGATGAGCCTGTCATCAGACAGCACACACTTGATGAACAGCACCAAAGTGCTGCAGTGATGTTTGGTTTAGTGCAACTGTGTGTGGCAGAGGGTTTCCTGAAAAAGAACAGGTGCGATAAAAACATTACGTTTCATTTTGTTAAAGCCAACTGTGCTTTTACTAAACCTTCGTGGTCCTCTGTGTATGTGCGATGGTTTGGATATTTCTCTGTGAAGAACAGAAAGAGCTGAAAGAGCTCCGTGCTCCCACAGACTAAACCCAGCATCCTTTCAGACACAGTGCTTCATGTCTCTCACACTTTGCATAGTGAGATTCAGTTTCTGCCTTCCAGAC